CAATTTATTCAATATTATTGAGATGAAGCCTTATTTTCTCATAGCCCTCTGGCCAAAAAGTTGGAGTGTTTTGTATTTTTTTTATTTATGTTGGGAGCTAGTATCTAGTTCAGTGATGGTTTTAATTATGTATGAAGTATTTAAATTTAATTAAAGCAAAGATTTCTTTATTTCTTTATTTTTTTACTTTTTTAGTTACAGTTTTTACCTTTCTGGAACATGGGCGAATCCAGCGGGGTGGCCAGGGTAGCAAATGCCACMCTCGCACCTGATTGGCCACCCCAGGTGCCATTCCAAACTGAGTGACAAGTGGAGGTGGGGATTGCATTTGTCAATAAAAGATGGTCAGTTAGAGTTAAAACAAAGTAGATAAATTAGCATTAGCACTTAGCTTAAATTGGGACTAGCAATCATTCTTGTCGACACAACAACAAATTTCAGCTCAATTAGTCTTAAAATTGCTGAAATGTAGCCATTCACATTTAGCTGTGGTGGCCATCTGAAATTTTCAAATCCAAGCTAACTTGGCCACCCTTTACAAAAAAATCTAGCTCCGCCCCTGTTCTGGAACTGTTCAAACTTTCCCACATAGTGTGTGCGTTAGCTACTCTTTACAATTAGGATTATATTAAAAATGATAATGTCAACGCATTACTTTTTTATTTTATAGTGAATTTACCAGTTGGTAAATCCTGCATTGCAGTACATGACCTGCTAACTTAGGCTCTACCCATTAAGGGCATTTTTCTGTTTCTGCATCTGGGAAAGTTCTCTGTTGAAAAAGTACCATTTATTTCTTTTTCTTGTTCTCTTGAACTGATCTGTGACACTCAAGCTGAGGTAATGGTCTGAGGTAAAAATGTGCCTTATAAGTGTGCCAACATGTACCTTGGGATGCAGTTCCAAGCAAAATAGTACAAAACAATGTACCATTGTTCTAAGTACTGTACCTGTATCATTCAAAGTACAGCTGGAGCAACAAATCAGTGTAACATGTACATTCCTGTACCTTCATTACTGCATCTTGACGTCCCACTATAAGCAAGCAAATTCTAGTTTGCTGTGATAAAAGCACTTGTACACTGATTTTATTTCACAAAACAATAGTGAGYGCTTTCGATGTGCTACAGGCATTTGAACAGGGTTGATTTGGCACACAGCCCAACATGCATGAGCCTTCATATCCTGTTAGAGATGAAGAGCTGAGAGATGAATATCAGAGGAAGAATGTGAGAACTGCAGCTGGTTTTTGTAACTTATGGCCTGAGGCATYAATGTTATTGCCAAACACCAAAGCTAGTCTGTTCTTGTTTAAATGTCACRTTTGTGCTAACCCCTCCAACTTGTCCCTTTTGTCCAGTTGTTTCACMCTCATGGAATCTCACTGGGAGAATTTTAGTTTTTTTTTTTTTGTTTGTTTGTTAGTGTTTTGTTTTTTATTTCTCTTCGGCCCCTGCCCCGCCCCATCACCCTTAAGCTCTTGTCAGTACACATATTACTACACACTTGTGCATGCATGCACACACACTCACACACTCAAACCTGAGCTTGTCTACTTCTAGGGCAACCCATTCAGAAGTTGTGGCTTGCCATAGCTCTTTGTTCACTGCTTCCTGCTCTGCCCAGCTTCAAAAGTTGAACTTTTTCAGCTGTCATATTTTGGACCTTGACCTCCCGTCTGCTGATTGTGTAAGTAAGGATGAACACTTCTGCTGGATGAAATCAGCATCATGTAACTGAAAGTACACGAGTTACGGACTAATGTAGTTTTAGGGCGAGCATTTTTGCTGTTCTACAAAAGCAGTAAAGCCCGCCCATGTGTTTGACAATAAAACCAGGGTCTTTTGATGTTTTTGTTCACTTTTTATTCTATTATGAYATCAAATTATTGTTAAATTTGGACCCAGTACAAACTGCAGCCTTTCTCCAGCTTGGAGCAGTTTGTAAAATCTCATGTAAAAAGCATGGAGGTGATACTTGATTATAATTATGACCTTGAGAAATAGATTAATTTTGTAGTGAAGTGTTCCTTTATTAAACTGAGGTTTCTACCTAAAGTAAAATCATTTTTCTTMCTTCATGACTTTGAACAAGCGATTCACACTTTTACTACCTCCYAACTGGACAATTGCAATTCTCTGTATGGTGGTGTACACTCTTTGGATTTAATTCGGCATGGGAGGTGATCTTTTTATGGTTTTTATGTTTTATCATACTTTTAATTGATTTTATTCTATTTGTTTTTGTGGTCTTTAGTTAGGTATAGTTTTTTTTAACTATTTGTATTGTTTTAATCACTTTGGCCAATTAGTTATTTTTAAATGTGCTATATAAATAAAATTTTGGTACTTTGATTTTAAAATGTGCCTGTTTTAAGTGTCTTGAATTTTGCATTAAAAAAACATTATTTCTGCAACTGGTGGTGACACAATCTGGCTATTGAGTGCAGAAAGCAAATTGGTTGACATTTGATGCTAATGCAATTTAGAGACACTTGTTTTGAGGAATATGAATGAGTGCAGAGGATTATTCAGGAAGCTGCAGAAACTGGTTTCTGAGAATTCTGACGTTAAAATTGAGCAGGAAGATTTTGAAAAGCAACCCGACTTGATGAAGCTCAAAGGTCATAAAATTACGTTAACTCTTAATAAAACGTTCAGTTCTTTAATCACAAAATGTGAAACTTGTAGATGAAACAAATCAGTTGTTTGTAAACAACAAATGGGCTGTAATTATGTAACGTCATTTTATCCAACCAACCAGGACATTAAAGCGTTTTACAACAAAATCCACACAACACTTCTGTGTCTCTCTACAAAGCTAATCTGAATAAACCATCCTATGGAGACTAATCAGTGTTTAAATCACATTCATACACTGATGGGACACACATCAGAGGCAGTGTCTTGCCCAGGGACACTTCGACAAGTGAATGAAAAGTTGGAATCGAACCACCAACTTACTCATCGGAGGACAACTGCTTTAGCCACATCCCCAGTTTGTGTTTTGTTTAAAAAGAAAGAACGAGTCAAGGGACAGATGTGGGGCTAGTTTTTGTCTAGATTTGGAAAAATGCAAACAAACATGAGGAGTTCAAAGAAAAAAAAACTTTAGATATTAATAAAGAAAAGAATCAGTCTGTCCTGGCAGAAAATAGAAAGCAACAACAGCAAAACTGGAAGAGACGACAGGAGAAACCAGAGGAGAGGAAGACTGCAGGTATGATGAAGAYTGTGACTRAGAGAACAGGGCTGATTAGAAGAGTAGAAACAAAATTATACAAAATCTACTGACTTCTCTAACTTTATCTCCCAGCCATTCAACCTATGCTGTACCTCTGATGAGCTCATTGAGTTAGGGATACACACACATACAATTCAACAACTTTATTGTCATTCAGGATTGTACTATTTATACGAGATAGAATTAAATTTTGTTTCATTTCTCCAAAACAATATGGCGATGATGCATCATCTAGAAACTTAAGGTGCAGTTCTTGTGCAGTTACAGCAGGTTATACAATTATAGTAAATAGTATTAGAAAATCTGTCTATACATATGAAAACAGTATGTGTGAGGGTAGAGTTGTATACATGTATTAGTATTTTCATGCGTGGGTGTGAATATGTGACTGTGTCTGTGGTAATGAGCGTTTGTCAGTACGGTCACTTTGTCAGTGACGTGAGTTCAGCAGTCTGATTGCCTGTGGAATGAAACTGTGTTGGTTCTGGTTCTCAGGCTGCGGTACCTCCTGCCAGAGGCCAGCAGAGCAAACTGTCCATTTTAGGGGGGCAAGTTGTCTTTTGTGATTTTGAAGGCTGAGGTGAGGCAGCGCCWGCAACCTATTTCCTGGATGGACAATAGTGGGGTCCTAATGGTCCTCTCTGCTGTATGCTGCTACATACTATATATCAGCCAGGTAACTATGATGGTGATGGATTCCATTTAGGCTTAAAATACTGAAAAAAATTTAACCACAAAATTTGTCTTTTTACTCAGTTTTGATTTTGAAAATCAATCTTATACTTGTGTTAGAAGAATAACTCATTTATTTGTTCTGAAATAGAAAGTTTATTAATAATAATAATAATAATAATAATAATAATAATAATAATAATAATAAAAACAAGTAGCAATTTATACAATCCAGTACATACCATAGGTAGCAGTTTATAAGGGGTGCTGTTTAAGTTATTCTTTTAGACGAGGAGGTTTTGTATTTCCATCAGTACTTTTTTAAACTGTTAATAATCTGATATTTGAACTGTTTGTTGAAGCCTAAATAGTGACTTTTGATAGCTGTTTATGAGCTTTGTTGAAAATATGACAATAAATTGCAGAAGAGTCAGCCTCATCTACAAAGCCGCCATTAGATGGCACCTTTCAGTGAATTCAGTTACACTTTCCCAACTCGACCATCATCATTTATCCCTTTGTGAATTAAGCTGACACTTGCTTCAGACTCTTAYTCCAAGAAAGAAAAAAAAGGCATAAAACTCTTTAGTCTTTGTTCATCAGCTTTATTCATGTCATACATTGGATGATCTTATTGCTGGCTGGCTAGCTGCCTTGGAAATGCTGTCCAAAGTTTAATTTAACTCAATTTTAAGTATTCCACAACAATTTACAAAGCCAGTTCAATTACAACCAAAGTTGACCAAAGCACTGTAAGACACCAGTAAAATTAGTAATACAAAATAGTGTCATAGAAACAAGAAGAAAAAAAAGTACAGATCAAATGGACACAAGCTTGAATGTTTTTTTGGTGTCAATCATTCTAATGAAGCTCTATGAATGAGGAACCCCAAATACCTCAGTCCCAAAGTTTGTCCTTGTTCGCCTCCTTTCTGTACTTTGCTCTGGGTCACTGCCCCTTCACCCTTCCCCTCCTCCTCACCAACCCCTGACTGCTATGTACACACGCGTGCCTCCCTCTCACATGTTTTATCTCCTCCCTCCTCCCCCTCCTGCCCTCCCCTCCCACCAACTCACTCATCTCCTCTCTCTGTCTCTCTTTTTGACGTTGGCTCTGGGATCCGAAGGCAGCTGGAGGACAGGAATCGGGCAGAACTTGCACCTTTGACACCACATAGCTGCACTACAGACATGTCGGACTCTGAGACCTCTGCTGCTCCCGCTGAGGCCCCCGTCCCTGTAGCTTGTGCCAGCATCAAGGCAGACCTGGACAAATGGTAGGTGACATTGTCTGAGATGCAAGAAAGTTGCATCGTTGCGGCACTAAAACTCATCCGAGTGAGTTTTGATTCGATTTCTCCCACAGGTTATCGTCGTATATTTATGTAGTTGGAAATAACAATGCCTTCAACAAAAACCTGAAATATTTGCAAAGGGCTTGAGTAACACATTGAAAAGATTTTCAACAATTACAAAGATAGAGGGTATCATACGTGAGCTTAGAATCGGTCAAAAAATCTGTTGACACAACATGTATTGGTTGGTTGTGGACAGCAGCATCCTAAAATGCACCACGATAAAATGGAGTCACATCAGCGAACACTGTGGTTCTTGCCGAAAACCACCATGTCCTGTGAGCTGAAATGTAACAGAATTTGACATCCCAGCTAAATGGTGACACGGGTTATAAAAACTCGGATGTATCCTATGTATGAGAGAAGGATTTAGGGGTTAACAACGTTTGGCAGCCCGGTGGTGTGTGATGCTTGTCCATTCGCATGGATGAAGGCTGGGAATCTGCTGACGTCACYAGCCTCCCTTTCCCCAGAATACTTTGCGGCAGCTTGATCCATTTTTCCCTTATGTCTCCTTTTGCCTCTTGTAACATTAACGAAGTACACCAATGGGTTTATGGAGATTTTATGTGTCTTCAAAACATTTTTAAAGAATAAGAATAAACTACAATACATTACCTTGAATAAACACTTGTGAACATTTAGTACAAGACTTTTAATCAAATCAACAAAAATTTGATTTCGTTATTTTTACATTTGTAGAAATAAAGTTGCACATAAATTTTTCTGCATGATTTTTGTAAGCGAATGTAGTCTCATTTGCTTCAGAGACTGCAAAGTGTTGATAGTGTGGAAGTGGGTGTGTGAAGTCTTTGATAAGGCCATAYGCAGAGGTAGGGGGGAGGAAAAAAAGGCGTAGATGATCCCCTAATCTAAAGTATTACAAGTGAAAAACTTGTGTTAATGACACCGTTGTCTAACTTTAAAMATTTATCCTTTTTATCCAGCCTGATAAATAACTTGACTTACTTTTGTGTWAAGGATGCTGTACATCTCAGTTTATGTGAAAAAAGGACTTTGTGCCTAAAATTCTGGTAAAGAATTACACTTAAATATATTTTTGATGCGCAACAAAAGCAATAAAGTACTTGTATCTATACAGCTGTGTTATGGTTTCATGTGGATACTGATGTGCAGCTGATGTCATATGAATTTGCTTAAAGGGGCAATATTATGTAAAATCAACCTTTTTTGAGCTTTATATCATGTTATAATGTTATACTCTCACAAAAAACATGCCCAAAGCCTTGCTTTGACTCATTCATGCATGTTTGAGAAATCCTGCAGCATTTTTATGAAGCCATGCTGAGGAGCAAAACGACAGGTGGGGACCAGAAACGACTTTTGTTATCAGAAATGCCCCTGGGACGTGTCTTTCAGCTGAACTTCCTCATGGCACCCCCCCCCCCCATCCCACATACACACACATACCCCCCATGACTCCTGCAGGCTCTCGGGTGAAAGTGAAAGTGAAACTTAAACTGTCTGCTGAGCTCTCAACATTAGTTCTCACTCAGTGAAGCTCTTTTCAGATTAAAAATACCTTTGAGGAAATGTGTTTTCAGATGCAAGTAAACTGCATCATAGCATAGTTAGTGTTGTGTTATTCTTTGTGAGAATACCTGTCTTCATTTAACAAGAATCWAAAGCAATTTACTGTTTCAACTTTATTGTTCCTTCTACTGTATAACTAATAGCTTGTGGTAAATAAAGATACAGAATAAAAACAGGTCTCAGTGCTAAATATTCAAATGCCATTTCAATTATAAAGTAAAAATAATCACTACCAAATATACGAAAACCAGGGTAAGTATATGAACAAGTTAGCAAAAGTTTAAAAAATAGCTCTGATGCTTGAATTTATCAGCTCTTTAAACATGATCATGTTACTATTGGACATTAGTCTTGTGTTACTGGGTCACATGACCTAAAAGCTAMTGATTTTTGTTTCTCAAGTGTTGTTCCGTTTGGTAACTTATCGAAGGTCCCTAAGCAAACCAAGGTGCGTGGAGGAGGAGTGAGCAGCTGGAGGCCAGCTGACCATGGAGTTATATAGAACAKCAGGAGTGCATCTGATCGTGTGATCTACTGTAGCAGCGGTAGCGCTGAGCCTGGTTTCATACTGGCAAAAAGAGAACAACAATGTCTGATTATGGAAAAATTGTAAAAAATTAATGATAATAATGACAAGAATATTATTAATATTTTAGAGTGTATATATTCTATCTAATGTTTAAAATAATGCAGGAAGCTGTGTGTATATACCAGAAAGGAAACAGGAAAACCTGTTACATTTCTAATACAAGCAGATTATATCATGTTTACCACAATGTGAATGTGATCTGACCAGAACTGAAGCTTAAATGGATCCATTTAAATAAAAAAAGGCATATGAAGCCAATCTAATCACTTCAACACTTTTTTTTACCATTGTTTCATCATTTGCTTAATTTATGTATTGTGYAGTCTATTTTCCCTGATGCCTGGAAGTTTGCTCAGATTACTCCCATTTTTAAATCTGGTGATCCAACAGAAGTTTCAAACTGTCGACCAATTTCTGTTCTTCCTATTTTTTCTAAGTTACTTGAAAAAACATTATTCAATCAACTACTTCAGCATCTAGAAGCTAATAATATGCTAAGCAATAGCCAACATGGTTTC